GGTTCAGTGTTTAGATGATGAAGTTCCAGCTGATACAACCCTTCTTTAAGCTTCCCTTGTAGCATTACTTCCCTCGTTTGCTTGTCCTTAACAAAACAGCAATTTGAATGAAATTCCATATAGACATTATTATCAGATGTTAGTTGAGAAACACTTATGAGGTTTTTTTTATTGCAGGTACATGCAGCAATTTTTTCAACACAAGTGGTTTGTCTATTAAGGTATTCAAGTGATTCATGCCAATATGTGAAATATGCAATCTATTTCCATTGCCAACTACAATTTTTTCCTTACCAGTGTACTCACTTGCTGAATTTATGTTTTCCATTTCTGCAGTGACATGGTTACTGGCTCCCGTGTCTGCAAACCAGGCAGGATCACTTACAGTGTTGGGAGATGCCATAAAGACTGTTGGTGATGAGCTATAGCTACTTCCCTGGTTTGGTGGTTTTCCTGTATAGCGTTCATCATATCTAAAGTTGCAGATATTTGCCTTATGTCCAATTTTGCCACATACTTGACAGACAGGTTTGTCACTGATGTTGAAGCCACCACCTTTGTATCTGCCTCTTCTTCCTCCTTTGTTGAATCTCCCGCCATTATTTGGCCTGTAGGTTCTGAAGTGATGGTTGCTTAATCCTGGTTTTTGGGTGAAATTGATTGATGTTTGATTGAGGTTAATTTCTGCCATTTCATTTTTCACCAAATTGAGATGTTCAAGTCTGCTTTCATAAGTCATGAGTGTTGATTGGAGTTCTCCCCAAGAGATGGAGTCTCTGCCATTGATTTGAACAACAATGGGTGTGTATTCTTCATCCAAACCAGCCAGGACCTGAGTTACAAGATCCGAGTGAGGGATGGTTTTTCCAGCAATCTCAAGATTGTCTGCCAGAAGCTTTACTTTGCTGAGGTATTGATCGATGCTCAATGTTCCCTTCCTTGATTTCTGAAGTTCCCCAGTGAGAAATGTTATTCTGGATTTGTTTTGGATGCCATAGCTCTCTTTTAATGCAGCCCACAATTTGCTGGAGTTGCTGCAGCCCATGACCCTCATAGCTATTTCAGGGGTCATTGATGAGTAAAGCCACCCCATTAGCAGCTGATCTGTTGACATCCACTGATCATATTCAGGATTCTTTTTCATCTCAACCATCATTCCTGCATCTCCAGAGATTTTGGTACCAATGAATTCTGGAGGACACACCTTTGTCCCCAGAATGTATCCATCCAGATTGTGTCCTCTTATAATAGGGAGTATCATGTTTTGCCATAGCAGAAAGTTGTTCTTGTCAAGCTTGACAGACAACATTTGAGTTAGGTAGACACCAGATGATGAGAAATGGTTGCTTCCCTGCACTGGAGGCACCATTGTGCTTGATTCTGATGATGGAGAAGGGTTGGAATTGGTGTTTAGTGGTGTATCATTGGCGTTGGCCATTGTATGCTCTGATACCAAGTAAAAAAATTGTAATCTATATTTTCTTGTATATTCAATACACAATTTACAGCAGCTTCAGTTGAGAGGAATTTATACACGTTATTGAGCTTGGGGAATAAGTTACAAAAGTATTCTAGAATACACAGCTGTAGCAATTTCCTTGAATCATGGGCTGTAGCTGGAATCCATTAATAATAGAATTTCTGCAGCATAATCTGGTATTGTTGGTGTAACAGAAATGGCTGATAAGCTGATAAATCAATAGACAAGATAAGTTGATTAACTGATTGAGTGATGAGCTGTAGGTTGGCTTATCTTTACACTACTTAATTGTTATAGTTAGTAAAAGTTAAATTATGTGATAGTAGAAGTATAAGATCCATCCAAAACATAATGAATTGTTTTGACTTTTGAGCAGTGTCTTCTCAAGTTATTTACGTATATGGCAGAAAGAAATTCTCTGTAAACCTTGAAAACAACTTCAATGAGAATTCATTGTGTGCTTTTCTGCATATTAACACAACACAAACTCCGTTTTATTCATTAGCATATATCCTACATCTTAACCAATAGATTAAACTTCATAAATCGTAGCAATTTACACGACAATGGAGCACTCCAAGTAACCAAGGTCGCAAGGAATTCTCTTCTCGGTTTTACATGTAAACTATACAAATAACAATCAAGTACGACAATCTCTCAACTATGTGAAGCAATAAGCATGAAGCGTTATAAGCGTGTGGATATTACGACTGGCTTGTCACCTTTATCAATGCCTTCTTCAATTTCTTTGAAGGAGTAACAACTTCAACTTCGTATGATCCATGACATTTTCTAAAATCAAATGACTTTGTTCGTCTATATGGCCAAGAGCACGAGACAACCACTCCTGCTTAAGATTGAGGTATCTGTTACCAGCGTCATTAATATCCCCTTCAACATTCGCCTTCAACATTCGCTAAATGTGCATTATCTCGACTCATGAACAACTCCCAATATTCTCACAAAATTGCACCATCCATGCAGGCAAATGAGAACATTATTATCGACCCATCGAACATTCAATCTCATCTCTTAATTTGCCTTCAAATATATCTAGTGTTATGCATTAAACATGCGATTTAGTGTTGGTCTTTATTATTTTCTCCAGTGGAAAATAGACTTGGCCAATAGGAGAAGTAGGTAGAATTATTCGCTACTTGGTTTGTTATGAGAAGATGTGTGTTGATCAATATTAACTAACCAAAATAGAGATGGATGTAGCCCAACAATGTCCCCTAGCCCATATAAATTTCTAAGAAAAAATTTGGGCAACTTACAAAAATACCCTTAAACTTAAGGGTGATTTGAAAAATCATATGAAAAGGTTTTTAGAAGTAAAAAATACTGTGTAAAATTAAAAAGGGAAATTGTGTCACTTTTTTATTAAAAAATTTCATACAATATCGCTTTTATTAAAAAAAATGATGTTTCTCACTAAAAAAGTGATAAAAATCAAGAAGGTGAGGTAATAAACACTAAAAAAAAATGACAAAAAAAAAGTAACAAAATTTGAGTGAAATGTTTCAAAAATCACTGAACTTATGCATTGGTCATGGATTAATCACTGAATTATAAAATGCTCACTGAACTTGTCCCGCTTGCATTCCATCCCTCACTCCCCAAAATCTGTTAATTTTTTTGCTAATGTGGAGGATGGTAATCTAGCGTAGCCATAGACGGCGTGCCACATCAATGATTCATCCTACTCACAATTAATAATTATTATAAAATCTAAAAAAAAAAAAAGACATTTGAAATCTGAAACCGTGTTCTTCATGTGGACACGATTTCCTTTTTTCACAAATCACGTTTAAAAAAAAAAAAAAAACATGCAACTGAAAACCCAAATTCATGCCCTTGTTCTTCTCCAAATCAGTGAAGTGAAAGCTCCTCAAAAACCCTACTCATTTGTTGATGAACTCTAACAGTCAATATTGGAGATCCGTCCCCACAATCGAACCCAGTTGTTCAATATTTACACATTATGCACATGGAGAGACCACTTGAAGGTAAACTAGAACAAATATTTTATATTTCATTTGTTATTTTCGCACGTGATGTCAGTCTAAAGTTATCTTTTTGTGTTGGATTTATGTGATAGTTATCTGCTTTATGAATATGGGCTATAAGTATAATTATATTTTCTTCTTTTTTGGCCGCATGGACATCCAAAATTCAATGGTTCAGGGAATGATGAAAACGCTCTAGATGGGACTGAAAATTCCTCAAACGAGGACCCAATCTTCACTGATTCTGGTAATGAGTTAGACTCTAGAGAAGACGATAATTTATATGAACGCAATGTGACAGATGAGATTGAGGTTGGTTTGAACGTGGGTGAATTGAATGATGTGAATGAGCATGATGTTGAAGTTGATGCTGAGATTGATGATTTAGAGTACACTTCATCTGAGGAGCTTGTGTCTGTTGTTCATCTGATGATGATGTTGGGTATCAATTTCCACAGTTTTGGGTAGAGGCTAACATGAGTAATCCACAATTCGTTGTTGGTCAGCTCTTTAAGGATGTTGTAGAGTTTTGAAAGGCAGTAAGGACTTACGGAGCTTTGAATGGGTATAATGTCAAATTTAAGGCTAACGATGGGACACGAGTATAGGGAATTTGCAAACCTAGTTGTAATTGGATGATATGGGCATCCATTGTAGGTCGGATAGGAAGTCTCCAAGTTAAGTCGTATTCTCCGAATCACACATGCAGCCGAGACCAATACAACAGACATTGCAATTATGTCTTCCTGACTAACTGTTATATTGAGCAGTTTAAGGCAGACTCGAAATGGAAGACTAAGAGTATACTTGCGACAGTGAAGGATGATTTGAAGACTGATATTACTCGAAATGTGGCATGGAAAATGAGACGGTATGCAAAGGAATTATTGCATGGAAAAATTGACGAGCAATTTGGTAAGTTGTGGTGTTATGTTGCAGAGGTTTTAAGGACTAACCCGGGTTCAACAGTCATCATTGCCAACCACAATCAAGTTTTCCAAGGAATCTATATCTGTTTCGAAGTATGCAATAAGGGTTTTGTCAATGGTTGTAGAAAAGTTATCGGAGTTGATGGCTGCCATTTGCGTGGATGTTTTAGTGAAATAATGTTGACAGTTGTTGGTCATGATGCGAATGGCTGCATATATCCCATTGCGTGCACCGTAGTTCAAAAAGAGAACCTTAGCTTGGAGGTGGTTCATGACACATCTAGAAAGTGACGTTCATATTGGCAATGGAAGTGGCTGGACTATAATGACAAATCGCCAAAAGGGAATGCAAAATGTTGTCAACGAATTATTTCTGGTTGCCGAGCATAGGATTTGCGTACGCCACATGTACTCTAACTTTTTTAGCGCCGGCTTCAAAGGAAAAACATTGAAGGACTATCTTTGGTGTGCCGCAAAGTCTACTACTATTTCAGATTATACACATTAGATGCAACAAATACGAAATGTGAGCGAAGATGCTTTCAAGTGGTTGATGGAAAGACCACCCTGTGAATGGAGTAAATCACACTTTGGAGCGCAGTCAAAGTGTGACATCTTGTTGAACAACGGCTGTGAGGTTTTCAACAAGACTCTATTAGAAGACCGCAAGAAAATGATTTTGGACATGTTGACATCCATACAGTTAACATTTATGAAGCGAATTCAGTTGAGGCGAGATAAAATGAGTGGTTATGAAGGTTGAATTTGTCCTAAGATCAAAAGAAGAGTGCACTCTATTGTTGAGAGATCAAGAGAGTGCATAGTACATTTTTCTAGTGGTCCTAAATGGAAAGTCAATTGTAGTTATGGTACATATGTGGTTGACCTCGAGGAAAGAAGTTGTGCTTGTAGACGTTGGGAGTTGACGGGAATACCGTGTATACACACTATGACAGTCTTTTTGCACTGTAGGAACGACCTTGAAGAATATGTCAACAATTGTTACACTAACGAGTCTTATTTGAATTGCTATAGAAACATCTTGAGCCCTATTAATGGTCGAAGCATGTGGGCAGAGGTTGAAGCGGAACCGATTAAGCCACCAAACTAGACAGTTACAACTAAAGGACGAAGACAGACTAAAAGAAGGAAAAACGCAGAGGAAGTCGTGGTGCATACGCAAGGGAGATCGTATGTTAGAAAAAATGGACAAGTAATAATGACATGCTCCATTAGCAGTGTGCGTGGACACAACACAAGGCATCATTCCACACCATATGTTGTACTAGATGTAAGTCATTTTATATTATGAGCAGTTTTGAAATGTATGACCTTTGACTGATGTTTTCCATTTATTATTGTAGGACATGTTGGATGCTCCTTTGTCAGAGGTTGAATCCCAACCAACCACGAAGTACTTGCAAGCGTAAGACAAATATGATGATTATTATCTTTTATTTAAATTTTACATTAATTAACGCTTCAATAAATTGTGTTTAAGCTTTACATTAACTGCTTGCATATTTGAATAGGGAAAATTGTCTACTAGCAGATGCAATCATCCATCGACAAGTCGATCACCTGACGCTAATGATTCGAATATACTACCAACTGCTGGAAATGAAAGACGGACTGATAGACCAACAAAAACATTGGAAGGAATGGTTGATATGCTACAAGAAATACAAGCTCATGAGTCCTCATAATTACGGGCTGCTAGAGTTCACGCACGACGACATGCAAACACAATTGCAGCTACATCTCGTACATCATGGAATCGTGGATAGCTTTGAATGAAAACAACTTTTGTAGGTTTTGGACCAATGACTATAGCTTTGTCAATGTGGATAACTCGGAAGTAGACAGTTTTATGGGTTGAAATTGAATGGTCAAGGAAATGTATATATAGCTTGATGTGTTTGAATATTTTTGGAGATGATCTTTATGTTATGAAAATTATCCAAATATTACCTTATGGAAAGTTTCTTTATTTATATCATTTGGAAGCCTTTCTTTATTTATATCGTTGTGAGCAATTCAAGTTGACAGTATTTCTTTATTTATATTGTTGTAAGCAATTCAATCTTCATTTAGTGCTAAGCATTTGGCAAAAGAGCAACTCATCAAGTGCAACAAATTGTAGTCACCAACAAATGGAATTAACAACACATGCAACTACGTTGTGCAATTACTAAAATTCAGAGCAAATAATCGGGGTTGAAATTCACTACATTACACCAAACTGCCTGCAATTTACTTCAACTCCATTCCCATACATACTACATTACACTAATACACACTATTAGAAAAACAAACTAATAAAAATAAATATAAGGACTGCCCAAAATGCAACCTTGTACATCTTTAGAATTTTTCAATTTTTCCTATTCTCTTCTTCGAGTCTGTTCTTTGAACATAGTAGCCCGTTTATTACAAGCGTGTACCCAACATCCGATGACTCATCGACCCAATCAAAGAAATTGCACGCTTCAGGCTTCCCATAGAAACGACATCTAATAAACCTCCATCGGAGATTTGTTCCCGTCCATTAAGTCCTCACACATCCCAAGTGACCACAATAGCATAAGCTTTGTGCACCTCTCTGTCCGGGTGCTTCGGATATTATCACCGCATTGCCTTCGTTCGGCTACAAATTGTTTGAGGTGCTAGCGTTCTGCTACTAGGTTATGGGCTACAATCAGATGGGAGTAGAACAATGTGAGTATTTTGGTATGATTTATGGAGAAGATGAAGGAATGGGTAGGGTTTTTTAGGAGCTTCCACTTCATTAATTTGGGGAAGAACAAGGGCATGAATTAGAGCTTCCAGTTGTGTGTTTTTATGTTTTCTTTCATTTTTTTTAAAACGTGATTTGTGAAAAAAAGGAAATCGTGTCCACATGAAGAACACAGTTTCAGATTTCAAATGTCCTATTTTTGGTTTTTTTTATAGGTTTTGTAATAATTATTAATTGTGAGTAGGATGAATCATTGATGTGGCACGCCATCTATGGCCACGCAAGATTACAGTCCTCAACGTCAGCAGAAAAATTAACAGATTTTGCAGAGTGAAGGATGGAGTGCAAACGGGACAAGTTCAGTGAGCATTTTAAAGCATTTTATAGTTCAGTGATTAATCCGTGACCAATGCATAAATTCAGTGATTTTTGAAACATTTCACTCCAAAAATTCAAAAGAATGATAGAAATTTAAAAAAATGAAAAATTCAAAAAAGTAACACAAATTAAAAAAAGGTACATAGATTAAAAAGGTGACAAAAATTCAAAAAAAGACAATTAAAAAAAAGTGACAACTTTTAAAAAAGTGTCACAAATTCAAAATAAAAATAAAAATGGCAGAAAATAAAAATGACAAAACATTAATCAAAATCTTGGAATCAGTTGCATAAATTGATATAACTTAAAAAAGTAACGAATACTCCAAAAAGTGACAAATACCCCAAAAAGAGAAATAATATTTAACATCAATCAAAACATCTAAATGATGGCTGATTTTCTTTTGCACGTTGTCTATTTGCGATTATACTTCACTTCTATTAACTAAAAATAGAACATAACTTCATTTTTAGAAACATAACTACCAATAAGTTGGAAGTTAAAAATTCAAAAAAGTGACAAATTTCTTTATAGGGTCAAACTTCTTGATTCTCCTATGCCAATGAACCATTAAGATACACCAATATTAAACTATAGAGCTGCATCCACAATGAAAAAGATTCCATATTCGACTCAATACCAAGAATTCACATGCATGTACATTTTATACATCCCATACATGCAAGTATACACCAATTACATAAATATGTACAAGCATTAAAGCAATACAGTATACAATCAGATGAAAAGATCCCAGATTCTACTAAATGTTAATGCACAACATAAAATGTTGGCCAAAGGAAAAGACCTCGTAAAGGGAATGGTTGAAAGTGGCTATGTCATCGGACCACTAACTTGGGATGCACTTGTGAAGCTTTACATTGATGTCGAACAAGTAGAAAAGGCCAACTCTATACTGCAAAAGGCTGCTAAGAAGAAAAGAGGCAAACCAGTGTTTAGTTCGTACATGGTACTTATGGACCAATATGCTAAGAGTCGTGACATCCACAATGCTGAAAATATGTTATTTACATATAATCACAATGCACAAAACCCATCAAATACCAACACCAAAAAAATATTTTCTTCCTGTACCTTCTTCCTACACATAGGTTCTTCCTCATATCGCTAAAAGAGGAATGCAATGATAGAGAACAAGATTACAATCTATTTTTGCATTCGTCGAGTATGATGAAATTTCTAATTTTAACATACATTATCTACAAGTACGAGAAAAAAATACATAAAATACTAAAGAATTTTCATTGCAAACAATTCTTTCAAACCTTTTAATCCATATTACTTCATCTTGAAATATACATCCCAATAATCGCCAACAAGAACAACAATTAATCCATGTTAAGAGCATACTTATGTACGAGTTGCAACTAATATAAGGATTCAAGTGCCAATCAAAGATTACCCACTATAAATTGAAAATAAAAGTTATACAAACGCACTATTTACACAATCAGATTAATTCATTTGAAAAACAAACTATTAATATAGGGACACCAACCACTAAAACCTCAGAAGAATAGCTTTTTCTCATCTTTTTTCAGACCAATTTTTTCATTTATACGTTCATTTTCCGAATCAAAAAGACCAAAATTATATCATTTTACTTCAAAAATTATTTAATATTTCCAATATAACTAGATAAACTAGCATAAAATGAAAATCCCATTCATAAGAAAAACAAATACTTCATTTAATCACATCAAAATAAATAAACATAAAGCAAATAAAATCAAAAAGGGAAAAAAAAAAAAACCTAGTTGAACTTGAAATTGAGCAGAATTTGGTGCCGGTCTTGGGGATGTTGATTTAGGCGTAGGCATTGACAAGGATTTTGGCGTGCATTGTTGGGGTTTTAGTTTCCTTCAGTTAGTGATGGTGTAGTTTTTGAGGGAGATGATTTAGGACGTGCTGGTGATGAAGTTGGGAGAATTTGAGCTTATTAATTACAGAGTAAAAGTTTTAATTATTTTTAGGGTATTATTCTAATTAATTAGTTTTAGAGGTATTGGGTCTAATTTTCCCTTTTTTTTTTTCTTTTTTTTTTTTTTCATTTTGGCCCAGATATCAGCATTAGTCCAGCTCTAATTTAAATCTCAATCCAAGTACAATCTCAATTATTCAAATTGTCAAATTCGATATTCTATTTAATGCATATTTGACTAAAATTTAGTTATAATTATTAAGTAAATTTTATTGCAGATAATTTGTATTTATTAGATCTAAAAATAATTACTTATTTTAATAGTTAGAGACACTACGCATTTTTCTAAATTACGTATGTTTTCATTCATTACTAATTCATATTTAAGAATTTTTTTTTACTTATTTTGACCATAAAATAGATATTATGATCAAAATAAATAAATTACGATGGATTTGATATTGACAATAAAATGAATATTTGTTAAAACTCATTTATATATAAAGTAATCTATATTGACAATAAAAAGAATATTTGTTAAAACTTTTAATTGTTTGGAAATACTGGTTGTCAAAGTTACTAGAAGAGTACTTAATAAGTAATTTTTTAAATGGTCATTGGTGGATATGTAGTTTTGTTTAATTCTATCATAATTCGGTTGGTTTATATTTTTATGGTAAGCATCGATTTTCTATTTGGTATTGTCCTTATTAAATTCATTCATTTAGACATTCTAGATCCATACATATTTTATATATTCATCTCACTATAAATACATTCCTAATACAGTTTTGATAAACACTATATTCATCCATTCACCATTAAAATTTAATTTGGCTCTTACTTTTTATTTTCTATATTGTTATGTCTGTGGTTTAATATTTAATTATAAAGATTAGCAAATTTTTTTCTTAAATTTATAGGATTCTCTCAAGAGTATATTGCACAACCAAACAAATTTCTCTTAGAATCATATATAATTAATTTTTTTTCTTATAAGCTCATAAATTTTGATTGTTTGTGTTTTGGTTGGTAATTTTAATTTTTAAGTTTTTTTTCTTTTTATAATACAAGAATATTTTCACAGGTATTGAAACATATTTTGAAATTTCTTGTATAGTTTCATCTGTCAAATCAATATTTAAAAAAAATTAAAAAATAAGATTTCAGTTTTTATAACTCAAATAATGTGTTGATTTTTTTATTTTTATTTTTAAATTTCCATTGAAGAGGATATTTTATGATTAGGGTTTTATGATTATAGTTAAAGATGATATTTTATATATGATTATTAAAATTTTAGTTAAGCACAAACTTTAAAAGAATATAGAAATGTTTAAAAGAATTTTTGAAAATAAACATTAGTGGATAAATTTAAAACAATATATTTTTATTTAATTTTATATATGTCTATTTAGGTAAATTTATATAAGACAAAAAAAAATAATATAATTATCTTTTTAAAAGTGGATGTATACATAAAAATTGTGGATGTAAATAGCTGTATTCCCAGAATATAATGTAGTTGGAATTTTCAGTTTTTGCCATAATGCAAAGCAGAGAGAGAGAGAGAGAGTGAGAGTTATAGTGAAATCTCGGTCTCGTCTTGGTCAAATTTATGATCCAACTTAGGTCGAAATCTGAGTATTAGTTGTTACACACCTCACCAACCCCTTCACCGCGTCAGATCTACTTCCCAACAAGAGCCCATCTGGCAAGCCGAGACGTTACTGAAGTGGTATAAGCCTTTATCAAACCCCTAGTCGACGTGCTGTGAGAGGCATTACCAAAGTAATATCGTCCAACGCATCCTTTGATACCGAAGTGTGAGGAAACTCGAAGCATCATGTAGCAGAGGAGTGCAAAGCCCCTCCATCGCCAGTTTCAGAGATGTATCTCTGTGTCAGAATCCTCTATCTTTATGGATTAATTGATGTGACATCTCTGCCTTATGTCAACTTAAATATCAGAAAAATTAATTGTCCACCCCTCCTAGGATGCGACTGATTGACGCCTATGAATAGAAGTCTCATATCGTCAGATGTATACACATGTCTCGTATTCAACGGTATCCTTTGCCTTTAAATACCAAGGGCTTAGTCAGAGAAAAATTTAATTTTTCTAATCCAAGCACTCCACGACTGAGTAATATATATTCTCCTCCCCATTGTCTCTTGCACAATTTAAGCATCGTCGCCACCATCGTCCATTGACTTGACTGTCGAAATATATGCGGCAGCCACCACCCCTGCTGGTACCGACTGAGTACGCCTAACCGTTTGCTCTTGTGCGCAAGGAGGAACACGTGAAATGACTCTCGATTGACCATGTGAAAGGTCCAAGTCCCAAGGTCAACATTAGTATAAAGGGAAATCACAGTTAGGGTCCGAGCATTTATAAATGCAACACTTGGTCCCCAAATAAATTTGTGAATATTTTTAGCTCCAATCTTTATGAAATTAAGCACACATCACTTAGTGCAAAATTAATATTTATTTTTATCATGTCTGTATATCTATCGAGAACCACGGTGCTAGGTTCTTCATCTAGAACGAGGGATCATCATAACTATCTTCATCTTGAACTTTGAACATTTTATTTGTCATGGAACTATGGTAATTCAAACATCGATTCATAATGATTTTTTCATTAAATCCAACATTTTGCTACTGCTAAGAGAAGAAAACAAAATGAAGTTGGATATTTGGTTTGTCTGCAATGTGTTGTATTTTTCATTTGGTAGTAGTGTATTGTACTATTGTATAAAAGTTATTTATATTTTGTTAAGTTAATTAATTGTTTTCCTATCTTTTACGAATTAATTTTTTTAAAAAAAATCTCCAAATACTTCAATTAGCACTATTATAATATATCTTGTTTATTGTTTGAAAATATATTTATTTTGCTCAGCCCTAAAAATCGCATTTGGTACTATAATTTGTATGTATCACTAAACGATTTTTAATTAATTCAAAATTTAAAATAATATTAAAATAAAAATTCTTTTTATGCCTTTTTATGCCCAAGCTTCTCCTAGGTGTGCATCGATCGAAGGTTGAATTCCACACATTATCATGCATTACGCTTTTTAGAACACTAAAACAAGTAATGTTCTCAATCAAAATTATGTTGACAATTTAGAATTTCAACAATAATTATTCAAATAATTAATTACTTATGAACAAATGTTTAATAATGATTAAAAACATTAATACATATTAACGTTTTGGGGAAAAAATATATTTATATAATTTTTTTTAATTGTATGTAATAATGTTTTCATTTAATTGTGTATTAACAATTAATAATAATTGAGTTTAGCGGAAATTAATTGACTTAATTTTAGAAAGCAATAATAATTATTAATTATCTTATTTAGTGGAAATAAATTGAATCATTTGGAATTCAATTTTTATCTAAACTTAGGTAGGAGTGGGCACAATTTGGTTCGATCTGTTTCTAAAGGTAACCGAATCGAATCGAATCGAATCGAATCGAACTAAACCGAATACCAATGATAATATTTGAAATGGAACCGTTGGTTCTACATCCAACTATGGAATCAAATCGGAACTGATCGAACCGATTCTGATTTGGTCCGATCCGATTCTCTATATTGAAAAAATTGTAAAAATAAAGTATGAAACAACTTGTGAAACTGAAAATAGATAAAAATAGAGTATGAAATCACTTGACATTCTTATAATCTAATAATACAAAAAAAAAATAATACAAAAAAAAAAACAATTAAACAAGAAAAAAAATTCACTCCAAAGCTCAAGATCAACCTATAAAGGCCAAAAAAAGGAATAAATTATGGAACATATCATAAACGGTAAAATTTCGATCTAAAATTAATTCTTACAAAAATTTGTATGACAATAACCTAATTATCTTTAGCAACCCTCTAGGATTTTGATTCTTAATGGTCAATCATTTTGAAAACAACGAGAAATTTGAACTCTTGTGAAATATTGAACTAAAAATATATTTTTTCTATTAGGTTGCATTAAAATTATGAATTTGTAAAGTATTTATAAAATTATTTAAATTTTAATTTTGATTACCCATTAAAGAAAAGAAGAAGAAGTGTATGGAAAATGAAATTTTAACGTGAGATAATTTTAAAGTCTAGTGTTTAAAGATCTAATGCATCTTGATGCTAACAAAAAGAGAAATTCAGGAAAATCAAATTCACTGCTGATTCTCAAGACAGCACCGAGAATTGGACCAAAATCGATTGGTTCTCGACATGCGTTCCCAAAATTGACTCATTTAGTAGAGGAATCAAACTAAACTGACAGGTTCTATTTGGTTTTGGTCCGGTTCCGCTAGTTTGAGAAAGCATGCCCATCCTTAAACTTAGGTATATTCATATGTAATTGTCAATTAAAACAATTTTTAATCAAAGTTAAATAATAAATATTTATATTTTTGTAAACCAATTGAGGGCATATTAGGTATATAGTTAAATACGTAGAGATAAAATTGGTGTTCAAAAGTTTTTCTTCAATTCCCACATAGTAATGCTATTTAACCCCATTTGGATTGCAATACATACAATGAAAGATGAAATTAAATGAGTTATTTAATTCTATTTATTATTTAATCTCACCTAAACTGAAATTGCAATCTCAATGTGGAATCGTAATAAACTTAATGAAAGATGAAGTTAAATGAGAATCTCGATGTGACGATGTAGCATTATTCTTTAATATATTGTAGATAATGACCCTTCGAATCAATTAAGCCCCTTGGAAAATTGCTCTGCAGTAGTTCCCAACCTGCAATTAGGTCCCATATTATCTTTTTAAGCAATTTCATCCCAACCAAATCGATCCACTGCTCTGTGGTCCCGATAAAAATGTCACGTATAAGGTATAACCCACCATAATATTCTCTTAAGCGCAAATAGATCCCCATTCTTTTTAAGCATTTTCGTCCCTGACGTAAAATATTTATTGCACCTGTTTGGCCCACATTAAATTTCATTACATTACATTACATTTTTTTCTCTCATATTTTTAACTACACAATCTTTCATAAAATAATATTACACTTAAATTTAAAATTTTTCCTTATTTTTTAATCACTCATTTTTCAAAAAATCATTATTCCACCCATTTTCATTTCTAGAAAATGGGGGCAAACGGGGGCTACAAGTGTGAAAGAATGTTAGTGAACTCTCTCTCTCTCTTCTCGTAGCATTATTTTTTAATATATTGTATATAATGACTTTTAGAATCAATTAAAAGTGGGATTTTGTTATTGAATAATGCTATTTGCAGTCGCTCACTGCGGCAGTCGCCCTACGTGGTATACACATGACATGTGATTATTTGATGCATTAATGAATAAAAAAGCTACCACATTAATGCATCAAATAATCACTTGCCATGTGTATGTCACGTAGGACGACTACCGCAATGAACGACTACGAATAGCATTACTCTTTGTCATTTGTACTCGGAGTTTACCCGCCTCTCACATGGGGACAGGTCCCACACCCAACAAATGGGTGGGACTAGAGTGAACTCTAGCCCCTCTCTCCCTCAACATAAGCCGATTCTCTCTCTCCCCAGACATAAGCCGATTCCCTCTCTTCGTCTTCATCTCTCACGGACACGACATTAGCATCGGCGGAATTCCATTTAATGCAAAATCTAGACCCAACCCAGGATCCAAATCTAACCAAATTCCATAGATCTGATCTCACACCCACACTCCAATCCATAACCGTTTTTAATTTTCGTATTCCAACGTCACACTCTTTTTCCTCCAATCAATCAATTCCAAAATTAGTTTAATCACAATCTTTCACATTTTTGCGCTCAATTTTTCGGCAAGAGTAAATAGATTTGTAATTGTAGATATTTTCATTTCCTCCAAATCATGGAGCCAAAAAAATGTATAAAAACCACATCTCCACCAATACTGTCCAAGCCATTAAGAAGATTGAAATTGATTTTGATTGTAATGGCTTCTTTTCTTGTTTCATTGGCCCTTCTATCTCTCATCCTCTTCTTCTCCCTCTCCACCGCCTCCCGCCACCGCCAGAATACTTCTTCCGGCGGTCTATCTGCGAAGGAAATCATCCATGAAGCCTGCAAGGCCTCACGTGATCCACCCACATGCGAGGCCGCGTTGGCTCAATCCAATCACGTGCCTTACGACGCTACAATTATGCAGGTAATTCAAACTGCCATGTGGGTGTCCTCACAAAATCTTAAAAAGGCTCAAGGCATGGCACAGGAGATTCTGGAAGCATCCACAGGGAATGTAAACCAGATTATAGCGGCAAAAAGTTGTCTAGAGGTGCTGCATTATTCATATTGCAGAATTAATATGACGAATGTAGCACTCGCGAGTGGCAAGATCAAAGACGCACGCGCATGGATGAGTGCGGGTCTGGCATATCAATACGACTGCTGGGGAGGGTTAAAGAACTCGAACCAGACGTCTCATATAAATCAAACGATAGCGTTTTTGTATTCTCTCGCCGGGTTGAGCAGCAATGCATTGGGCATGATTGTAAATTATGACAATTTCGGTAATAAAACCGAGTCCTGGGATCCGCCCAAGACCGAGCGGGACGGGTTCTGGGAAGGCGGGTCGGGTGACCCCGTGTTCGTCGGTGGAGTGCCTTCGGACCTGAAGGCGGACGTGACAGTGTGCAAAACAGGCGGTTGCTCCTACGAGACAGTGCAGGACGCGGTGAATGCAGCACCGGATTACCTGCCGGAGGGAAAACGGTTCGTGATCCGGATCCAGACCGGGGTTTATAATGAGACAGTCCGGATCCCATTTGAGAAGAAGAACGTGGCGTTCTTGGGGGATGGCATGGGCAAAACCGTCATTACAGGGTCTCTGAATGTAGGCCTGGAAGGGGTGTCCACATATAATTCTGCCACCGTCGGTGAGTTGACTATTGCTTATATCAGCAATAAGTTCCACCATATTTTGCCTTTGGTTTATTATTTAACTTTGTGCTTGGTAAAGTTTTTATAATTAAATTTCATTTTTAACCACAAGTTTTATTAGATTCACAACTTTTATTTACTTACTAACCAAATACTTTGTGGGAGCCACCAACTTTTAGCAACATCGCATTGTCGTTTAGTGCTGCATTATCCAAAGAAATTATTATGTGGTTGAGTTCCACGCTTAGGCATGAGGCTTCACTTGTAGTTTAATTGGTTGATGTTAATTTATGCAAAAGATCTCTTAATCCAATTCAATTCACGACTTACAGGAGTTCTTGGCGATGGATTTATGGCCAGTGGACTTACTATCGAGAACAAGGCGGGCCCTAATGCTCATCAAGCAGTGGCTTTCCGATCAGATAGTGATCAATCCATCATAGAAAATTGCGAGTTTCTTGGCAATCAAGACACATTATATGCCCATAGCCTCCGCCAGTATTACAAGTCATGTCGCATTCAAGGCAATGTGGATTTCATATTTGGAAATTCAGCTTCATTTTTTCAGGACTGTCTCATCTTTCTTTCTCCTCGACAAGTCGATCCTGAAAAGGGTGAGACTAATGCAGTGACAGCCCACGGAAGAATGGACCCTGCCCAATCTACCGGATTTGTCTTTCAAAATTGTACAATTAACGGCACTGATGCATATAATGCTTTGTTTAAGAGCAACCCTAGTGTACACAAGAATTACCTGGGAAGGCCATGGAAGGAGTACTCAAGAACAGTTTTCATTCATTCTACATTGGAGGCTCTTATTACACCAGATGGCTGGCTGCCTTGGGATGGTGATTTTGCATTGAAGACGCTTTATTATGGAGAATTCGAGAACAAAGGCGCCGGAGCTAACACAACAAAAAGAGTCACGTGGAGTAGCGTGATCCCAGCCGAGCATGTAAACTCGTACACGGTCCAGAATTTCATCCAAGGTGACCAGTGGATTCCTAAATCCTCTTGAGTGAAGAGCACAGATAATGTTGTGGTTTCTACTTAATTTTTACGGTTAAAGTTAAATTATGTTATAGAGAACTTTAAGATCCATTCAATACGTAATGAACAGTTTTGAGCAGTGTCTTCTCAAGTTATTTATGCATATGGAAGAAAGTAAATTCTCTGTCAACCTTAAAAAAACTTCAATGAGAATTCATTGTCTGCTTTCTGCATGTCAACAACAAAAACTCCGTTTTATATGTTAGCATATATCCTACAATTGAACCAACAGATTAACCTTTACAAATCGTAACAATTTACACGACAATGGAGCGCTCCTAGTAACCAAGGCTGCAAGGCATTCTCTTCTTGGTTTTACATCTATATAAATAACAAATTTGATGTTTTAGTACAGTCATCACAACAACTTTTGAAACTTCTTCATACATTGAAAACAATTCTCAGTTGGATAATACATGAAAAGTGCAAGTTGTGTCAAGATTTCAATTCTCTTCAGGTTTTGAGTTGTAGTCAGAAATAAATAAAAGTTCTCCATCACCGTTAGAAGTTTCTACAACAATGATTTCACCTGAAACATCTAATTGCTTTCCTTTCCGAAAAATTGGGCCAAATTTTTTCTATTCTGCAACTTATAGCAATCCTTAATTAAGTGCCCCGAATTCTTACAATAAATTTGGAAGTTAGACCTTAATTTGCCCCTTGCTCAACCACTATCAAGAACTAACCTTAACAATATGTTTCATCTTCTCATTTGAAAATAGAGTATTACAGACTTATTCAATGGTGAGATCACAATTATATAAGACATTGTCTGTAAAAGACAAATATGAAATGGGCAAAAAATATAATAAAATCAATACCATATAAGTAAGCAATGTTTGCCTCCTAATATGCTACAAAGAAAATCGTGTACTATGATCTAATAACAGAACATCAAACTTCATAGTTTCCATCACGAAAAATCAAGTTGAGCTATTAAGTTGATCAAAATCTCGATCATCCTAAGAATTTTAAAACCAAAAACTCTGATATCACTTGTTATAATCTGGACTAGATCTGAACCACTTTATTGAAAGCTGAACAACTCTGATACCAATTTGTTGTGAAAAGCGGATGATGAAAATGGATTAATCTAGTATCAAGTCGTTGGAGAAAATAAGAGATTAAGTTACAATATGAAGTAATAGATCGCAAGAGCACAAGAATAAAATAACTTGCAGAGAATTGAGATATTATTATAATATGGAGAAATAATACAAAGATTTTGCGTTTATAATTTGTTTAACTTAAAATGAGGTTAAACAACTTAAATAAATTGTAGAGAACAGCCAAATATATATAGGGAACAATTGAAGCCATAAAAGTAGAGTGATAAATGAAATAGAATACTCAAAAGTTTCCTTATTTTGATCCCTTGAAGTCCAACATAAATTCCAACTCTCAATAGGGCTTTCAAATATAACTTCAACTAGAATTTGTCCAATATACTTCGAATAAGATTCCAAATAGAATTTGTCTTAATGTGTATTTTAATTAGAACTCTCAACTATCTTTAACAAAGAATTTGGGTGACATCCAAATTCTAACACTAATGATAAATTGATATGATGGGAGCGTCTATTTTCCTAGATGAAGAAAGCGAACCTATTGTATAGTGGATATTACGAGGTACCTTTATCAACGTCTTCTTCGCTTTCTTTGAAGGAGTAACAACTCCAACTTTGTATGATCCATGAGATTTCCAGAACTCAAATGACTTTGTTCATCTATATGGCCAAGAGCACGAGACAACCACTCCTACTTAGGAGTGAGGTATATTTTACCAGCCTTATTAATGTCCTCTTCAGCATCACTAAATATGCATTGTCTCGACTCAAGAATAACTCACAAAATCCTCATAAAATCACACCATCCACTGCAAGCAGATGATAACAATATTATCGATCCATCGAATGTTCAATACCGTCTCTTAATTTGCCTTTAAATATATCTAGTATTACGCATTAAACATGCGATTTAGTGTTGGTCTTTATTATTTTTTCCAGTGGAAAATATAGACTTGGCCAATAGGAGCAGTAGGTGGAATTATTTGTTACTTGATTTGTTATAAAAAGATGCGTGCTGATCAATATTAACTAACCCAAATTAATTCTTCTTTATTCAACACAAAATATAATCTTTTGTAAAGAGGGAGGTTGAAGTGGGGCTAGGATAACATGCAAAAGTATAATTAAATTATGTTTAATTAATCAATATTTTAATTCTTTTCTTTTGTACCCTTTCCAATAATAATATTGTTTTGAATCTCCAAAATTCTTTGGCAGTGTCTGTCCAAATTAGAAATGTACTCATTGTTTCACCAATGATTATGTAACGTACAGACACGAATAGATATTTAATTAAACAGTACTGACTTCATACACGAGATAAGATATATTACAGAGATTTAGGGATGTCAGAGCCGAGTCGAGTAGGCTCGCGAGCCGAAATTTTAGGTTCGGGCTCGGCTCGAATAAAATGTCTGAGTTTTTTTCCGGGCTTGAGCTATTTTTTTTTATATTTTAAAATTAAAAAGGCAGCAGGTTGCTGTGGCGGGCTCGAGCTTTTTTCAAGCCTAGCCGATGAGCCCGCAAAAAAAGGATATATTCTTGTACCTATTGCAATTCATACTCATCTTTGAGGAAATTAGGCCCACTACCCTCCAAATATGACAAATTAGAAAACTACCCTTTAAACTAAACAAAAACGTTTTCACCGTAAATGGTACGCTTAACCGACCAAAACTCCCACCACCAGATCTCTGTTTTGCTTCCCCAACACATTCTTCTTCTCTCTATTTCTATCTAGATTGTATCTGTCGCTTTTCTTGATTTTAGGTCAATTTGTGCTGCTTTGTTTTGAAATTTGTGGCCGATTTAGTTGCTGTGTTTGTTATCAAAGGGGTAGATAGAATGCAAGCCGTTGAAGGAGGGGAATTTGGATTTTTTCGGTAATGGAATGATTCGCTCTCGTGCTCTCCCGTTGCCATTCCGTCTCCCTGAATGCCTCACCAGTATTCAAGGTATGTAACTTCCATTTCTCCTTTCATTTTGCTAATTTCTAGGTATGTGAGTATGTTCCTCGTGAAATTTTATTGCTTTTGCTATGTTCATTGCGATTTATTTCATGATTTTGGGTATTGCTTTTTATTGAATGCATCAATTTTTAAAATGAGCTTGATGAATTGTAATATGGTTCATTCTTCTTTGAAATTCACCCAATGATTGAGGATCAATTATGCATTTTTCCTTCTCTTGATTTTGTTAATTTCTGATTTTTCCTTTATTACATATGATGACACCTAACTTCTTTAAACGTGGAAGCATAGAGTGCCTTAGCTTGCCTTCGTATCATTTGCTCCATCGAGAAACACTAATATGGGTTGTTCTGCCAATGATTGTCGACATATGATTGCATTACTAATCTTCGCTACCATAACTTGTGATGCATTATATTGAGCAATAGAAGTAAATATCAACTAAAATATTAGGATACTTTTCTATATTTTGGGTGATTTTGCACAACTTTCATTCAGACAGATAAATGTAGTTGAAATTATGCTTCTATGCTTGCTTATCTCCATTTGCTTCATTGAGGCATTTCTAAGTCATTAGCATTCTGATTGTGGTCTGCTATAGTCAGCAAAAGTCTCTGTTTCCTATGTGAAGTATTCACGTGTTCCAATAGTAGGTATTGAAAAGCTTCCTTTCTAGTTGGCAAACATAATTTTGGTTAGAACTAACTTGCAGGTTGTAGACGAGGGTCGTTCCAAAGTAAGAAATTCTTTGTCACCAGTAGCAGCTCAGTTGGCACTGCAAAAGATTTTACCTTTTCCTTGCAAAGAGCAGTACACTATAGTGATTTTAATGCCTCAGGATTCTCATTTGAAGTCCCTAAAATCTTTCGTCCACTCTATGCTAATTCAATATTCTAGAGATGCAAAGGTCAGTGGATTTATCTCTAAATTGTAACGGTATTCTTGTAGCCAAACATGAAAGAGACACTACTCTATTCTTCAGGTAGATTTGCAAACTTGAGTATTGGTTCTGAGGGCTCAGTTGGTTCGATTCGTGTTGCTATGAGTGGAAAAGGGAAGAAGAAAAATTCATTACTACTTTTAAATTTTGCCTTTCATACTTGTAAATCTGGAATTTCATAAAGAAGATTAAATAGATGCATTGATGTGAACCAAAACAAAGATTTTGAATTAATTTGTTGTTGGACTCTTTCTTTTAACTGTTGTCTATGGTTATTCTATAAGAAGTTTCAATTCATCTGTCCCTGTATCGAAATCAATGTATTATTTCCATTAGATTTGCTGGTTATCTTATATGATTGAAGAGTTCTTTTAATTGATATTGTATATTGTTGAACCTTTATTGTCAATTGATTAATTGGAAGTTGAAAAGATTTTCTTTATCATTCTTATATATTAGTCTCTAAATCAACCTCAGTTGTTTTGAGGTTCTCTAGTTTGCTTCTCTTTGCTGAAATCGTTTTAGGTGGAGTTGGAGAGTAATGTTGTGAGGGTAATTTTTACAGAAGTTGTGTGTTACTTTTTTTGAGTTTGTCACTTTTTTTGAATTGTTACTTTTTGAGTGTGTTACTTTTTTAAAATTTGTTACTGTGCTTGTCATTTTTTAAAATTTGTCATTTTTTAAAAATTTCTATCACTTTTTTGGATTTTGGTCACTTTTTTTTAGTATTTATTACTTTTTTAAGTCACCTTTTTTAATTTCTATCACTTTGTTAGCGACAAACATCATTTTTTAATAAAAGTGATACTATATGTTATTTTTTAATTAAAAAGTGATACCTAACTTTTAAAAGTGATATTTTGTCAATTTTTTTTAATTAAAAAGTGAAGTTATGTTACTTTTTAATATTACACAGTATTTTTTACTTAAAAAAAAATTTCATATGATTTTTCAAACGACATCTCATTTTAAGGGTATTTTTATAAGCTTCATTATAAATCGTGAGTTATGATTTGTCACATTT